TTGTCGCAAATAAGACTACGTCCTAACTTTGGACGAATGTTGTGGCAACACCAAAACCCGTTTCTTGCACAACAACTCCCCAGACTCCCTGAAGGTCCCAAGAAATGGAACAGAGGGCTTCCCCGGCGCTCGACCCGCAGAGCGGGGTCGGCGGATTCTCAACTTGGAGTAGACCTGCATGTGGCCTGTATGTGTGGGCAATTTCAAGTCAAGGGTCGGTCACCTTTCCCACTTCTTGTTGGTGGCCGCTGTGTCATGCGTTTAATTGTCGACAAGGATTTGTGCAGACCTGACACTCTCAACACTTCTAGTGTTAGAGATTTTGCATCCAAGCTGTTTTTCATCATCTTCGACTGCCTGGCCAAGATTGTCTTGGGGTGCCAGTGCCACAAGCAAGCCAGCTGGGAAGCCTACCAAGCCTACCTAGACCTGTTTGTTCTGTTGGGCTGCGCAAGGCTCCGGCCGCTACTCAGTGCCTCCTGTCTCGAGCCCAACTAGCCGGCGGCCCAAGTCTTGAGCTAAGGCTTTTTAGTCACCTTTGATAGGTTAGAGATCTGGTTGCCGGGATATCTCGTAGATTCTCACAGCATTAGTCGGCGCTAGGTGAGGAATCCGTAGTGCTGAGCCATTACTAAGCTGATGGTTTCTGCATGTTTCTGCTAGGTCATTCGGCTTGCGCAGCAAACATGTATTTGCAAGTAAGTAGTTTGGTGACACTGAGGGGCCAGGCTGGCACATGAAATGTCAGCAGGCTGGACAGGTGTTAATCGGAAGCTCCACCGGCAGTGGCTTCAAACCAAAGGTAACAAAGGTACGCATAGCTGCTTCTCCACTGCGAGAGGGATCTCACATCCTTCGGGCTTTCTTACTGTTCCCGTGAGCCTGTACGGAGGCTTCATTTGAGTCCTGTTTTCCGGCCTGCGTGACAGCACGCAGACTTCCCAAGTAATGGGTGCACTCTTTTGCTCGCGACTCAGGATCTGCGGGGTTCTTCTCTGTGGTTCCAAGGGATTGCCACGGCTCACAAATGATTTAGAACGATTCAGAGACATGTAGACTGTCTCATCCCCCAAAAGCCCTAAACATAATTAAGCCCTATACCCTACTTGCAGAGCCCCCCAAACCTAAAAACACTGACCGAAGCCTACTCACCCTAAAACCCCTAAGTCCTTAAACAATACTTGGGGACACCAAGCCCAAAAATCTGAATCAGCCTGACAACCCTTTAGCGCATCCTAAATCTGTGACGTCCTAAGCCAGAAATTCAAGGGGGTAGATGGGTAAAGCGAAGCTTCACGAAAAAGTCGCAAGTAAATTTCTAAAAACATGCTTTGTCGTCTCAAGTGGTTTGACAAGTGACATGGTATGTAATCGCGACCGATGTATTTTTGTAGTTGGAACTTCTCTTCATATAGTCGCGCGTGATAGATGTTCACAGTCGCAAGTGATGGGGTGGCCATTTGGGGTCGAACCCCCAAACGTGGCTTGCGGGCTCCAAGCACGCGGGAGTAGTGTTTTGCAATTTTCGCAACCCAAAACAGGAAAAACAGCTTCTTCGTAGCTGCCCATCCGATTATGTGGTCGGGGCACCAAAAGTTTTGTTGCCCCAAAACCCGTAGGGCTGCAGAGCTGTCCGAAAGAAATGGCCCAGAGTTTCGTAGCGGTCGCCGCGGTTGCGGGGGGCCAGAGCTTGAGTGTCTTGCGCGCTACGGTCAAAAAGCCAAAGATCTGCGAAGCTTCACTTTAGAACTCTTGGATCACCTGTTTGAATATGGTTCTGTTCTCCCCTGAGGGCATCCGGGCGTTCCAAGCGAGCCGATCGGGTACGGCGCTCTGCGGGCCTGCGCTTGGCAAAGGGATCGCCGCAGTGAGAGTTGGAGAGTTCTTGACTGAAGTAGCTTAAAATTCTGACCATGTCAAATAATTCAAAGCAGAAGCGTAGTCGTTGGGTCTTTACAAACTAGACGGCTGTCAGCGTAAGGCACCCTTTGCCTTTGCAACCGGCCGCGCCTTGGATGCTTTGGAACATGTTGATCGGTGAGTCTTGCCCACTGCTGTTTCGGTCATGTGTTCTTGATTGCTCAACAGCACGAACATGTCATGATGATATTAGCAAACGGATCGCTGAGAAAATGCCATAAGATGATCTTCAGAGAGTCAGGCTCGATAGCTGGACATTGTGCAGACAATGTTGTAAGTTCTGGCAGAAGCCCCAACATTTCCAGTGATACTAGTGTTCGCCCCTGGGGGAGGTCAGAAGCTGAATCTGAATCTATCATTTATGCCGGATCATCGCGCAAACTGTTAACAGTTTGACTGGTTCAGGTCATCCAACCAAGCCTGGTGTCCACCGATGCTGTGCAATCCAGAGCAGTTCCGGACTTGCCTTGGACTAAGATCCCCCAAGTCGGCTGCAACCAGAAGATGTGGCAATGTGAACCGCTCTTTGATGCGCAGAGTCCATCTTCGAGTTGTGTGCTCCTTCCATTCTGCCTGAATCCGGCAAACAACGCCAGCAACCTGAGGCGACTCCGGTCTGAGCCCTATCGTCCTGCTGTGATGGCAACAGGGCCACTGGCTCAGAGTGGGCTGACTGCAACGGCACGGGCAGCCTGAAACCTACCAAAAAAGTTGTTGAGCTGCATTAAGAGCATGATGAGCGCATTATAGTGTCACAGAAATGTTTCTCCAAAGCTCGGCTTTGCACTTTGACATCAAAATTTGTTTACTTTCGTTCAGGTTTTGTCCTGGAATCTGAGGACGATCGATGTTAAAGCAGGGATGGCCCCGCTCAAGTTGCCTGGTGTTGCATCTTGGCTGCCGTGTGGTCAATGGAAGCTGGTTTTGAGAAGAATTGTTGGGGCTGCTCCTATATTCTTGTAAAGCTGGCATGGCGTGGTCATGCCTGGTCATTGCAGCTAGCACAGACGTGGCACCTGTAGAGGTCCAGAACAAGCTGGCAGCATCGACACACGCATCTGCACTGCGCGGGGCAGAGCGCATGTCTCAGATTTCTTGATCTGCACCGGCTTGCTTCTCGAAGCAAGCTCTCCAAGTGGCTCAGAAAGGATTTCTTGAGGTACGGTATCGGCGGTTTTTCTAGGTCCAATGAACTGCCTTACCACACTCTCCTGCATGGCTTGGTGTCTCGAGACCCACGTGGCAGACATCCCTTCGAAATTTTCAGAAGCTGGAGTGGAATGCAATTGCCAGGTAACTCTTTGCCGTAGCCCCTTCGAGAATATCACTGAAGCTTCCTTTATTTCCTTCAAATTTGCGCCTCCCGCTAGCGGTATTGCTCCTGGTGTTTTCTGCACAGGGAGAGCTGCCTTTCCTGCGTTTTCCAACAGGTTTCCCAGTGTGGAGCAACTAGAAAAGCCGTTGGTGGAGGCACATGCGATGCTGTGAGGGCTTTGAGGGTCTAGGCGATGCGATTGTTTTGGGGTGGTTGAAGGTCAACAAGAACAGCGGGTTTCAAGTCTTGGAACTTCGCAACTCCCGTAGACAGCGGCAGGCCCATTCTGCTGCAATGGAGTCACTGCAGTCGGACCCTGAGAATTGTCTGCCTCCCTAAATTTTGTGAGGCAATTGATCATCATGGCCAACGTAGATGTACTGCAAGCAGCCTTAACTGAGACAAACTGATGTTGCAGTGCAAATCGTTTGCACAACCGGTTGCTGGCATCTCGGACTGACCTGAGACGCTTGTGACAGTGCAGCCTCCTGCCAGCATTCCTGCAACAAGCTCCTCCTTTCTACAGCTGTCCTTGCTAATCCGGAAGCTAAATCTGCACCCAATCATGAAGGGTCTGCCCCCAGGCACAATACCCTCGGCACACATGGCCTACCTCAGGCCAGAAATGTCCTTTGGTGTCCTTGTGCAACGTGTCCGCAATACTCCTAGGGCTTCATAGCACTGCATCAAGCCGTTGCAAAGCATTGAAGCAGAACCCTGAATCGCACAGGCGGCGCACTCACCTGATACAAAGTCACTGTCAAGTCCTCAGCATTCGGCCGCTCAAGAGCTACGGGCTTAATCTTGCCGGGACGCACTTCTTGTGACACAAGCGAATCGCAGAATGCCAGGTCTGGTTATGCACCGTCCAACGGGGGCTCCTCCACAGTCGTGCTGCTCAGGTTTCTTCCCAGCCAGAAGGTTGGTTCTTTTTTGATATTGTAGGACAGAGCTCCAAGGTTTTTACATGTTTTGACTTGTTTCCTGGTTTGGACGAAATTTAAGAGGCATGTCCCAGCTTGTACATTTAAGTCTGGCTTTGGAGAAAACCCAGTGGCGTCAAACCCAGTGGCATAGTCAACAAAGCTTTGCAAGGCGGCTAGGTTGCCGTGTTCAGATGTGGCGCATGTGGCGCCAACTTAAACTGGCAAGCCACAGTGTTACAAGCTGCACCGTCCCGTTCAATGTTGTGTCATTTACGAGCCAGATAGGTATGTGGAGAGGATACGCAGTAAAGAAGACTCGGCATTGAAGAAATGCTGAGGCCAGATCACGCGGTAGCCCTAGAAAAGGCCACCAGCTGCCACGTGCCGACGAAGGCGCGTGCTTGATACCATGGATTCGGAGATGTCTCTGTTTTCTCGTTAGACGTAGCAATTCTTGAGGCGGCTCCCACTCAACTGGACTCTCGAAGCGGCTTTCCACTGGTGCCAACGATGTGGTCAACGCAAGGGAGCGCTACCGGGACAGCCTCAAGGCACTGTGAATCCATTCCTGCTCTGGCCATCATGGCTTTGCAGGTGACGGTGCTTGTGCAGCCACTGCTGTTAGTTGTGGTGCTGGTTGCACACGTAGCAGCCGGCTCAGTCCAGCGTGGGTTAGAAGGAAAGGAGCCAACGGGAAGGCGCAGGAGCAGGAGGAGCAGCAATGATCCGATCTGAGCCTTTGCGCAGCTATGCCAGGCTGGAGGCTTTTTCAGCTGCTTTTCCGGCTCCTCGGCTCAAATCTTCAGATGCCTGCAAGGGTTCTACCTTTGACGCTCCCTGCTGCGATTGTGCACCCTTGGTGTGGCTTTCGCAAAGGTTTGTTCCAGAGAAAGCCGGAGAAGATTGAGCCAGTGGACGTCATCCTCGTGGGAGGCCAGGAATCAGATTTTTTTGGAAGGCATGCAGGAGGTTGGAAGCTGCATTGCCTTGAGGCGGCATCATGAGCGCCACCACGGGATTGCTCCTGAAGCAGCTGGAGCCGAGCTGGCGGATCGTGCCACGGCAAGACCAAATTCACCCAAGTCCAGGGCGCAGATCCTGTTTATGCTAACCACTGGGTGCATTCATTTCTTTGATCGGCAAGCAGCCTTGCATGATGGATCACGTAACTTGGTGAGAGTGCAAATTGCAGCGTCTGGCGCTGCAGGTGATGATCGAGCGACTCGATGCCGTCGCACAGGACTGTTGCACTGTCTAGCGCCTGGATCTGGATGTTCTCGCATCTTGAGCATTGAGTCGAGGAAAGCTCAAACGCTTGGAACAATGCCGGGACTGGCCACTCTGCCCTCTGCGAGCCAAACTATACTCCGCAGGCAGGACTTGGCTGCGAAAGTTGTTGGGATTCTGGGTCCTTGCTTGCTTGAAGTGCTAGACAAGCCTCTGACATCAACTGGCTCCGTCATAGCTAGGTTGGCAAAAGTGTGGATATTCACAAGGCGGTCACAGCAGCTTTGGCTGCAAGGTGAAGCCGTAGAGACAGTGAACTTCAGATGGCAGCTGCCGTGGTGTTGATGAGACAGCTCACTCAATGTTTGAAAAGCAGCCTGAATGCGAAGCCTCTCAGTGTCGAATTGCCAACGCATCTCCTCCTGCAACAGGGTGAATGCCTCTAAATGCTTCTGACTCTAGCGCAATCAAGCGGATCTTGCTGAAGCGTAGTCAAGGTCAATGAGAACTTTCAGCTCAGCCGGCAGTACTGGGCCTATTTGGCCAAGCATCTTGTCCCATCAGACTGTCAGTTTGACCATACTTCCTAGCTGTTGGACTTGGAGACTATTAAGCGAAAACAGGATTCAGCTGCCACTGAGGGCAGGCCTGCTGCCGCAGCCGGAACGATTCATCCACTCGACTCCGCACATGACGTTTGCGAGGGGCCAGGTGGGATTCGCGATCTCCTTACCAGCATTACACAGAGCTCTGAACAGGGCCGTTTACATTATGGTCAGTGCATCCTGAATTCCTCTATACGACGTTTGGAGTATGCAGCCAGCTTGGACAGCTGTTCTGTGATCAAGACCTGCTGTCAGGATCAGATTGCTTGGCTGAAGAAGCGCCGCCTGGTCTGCACAAAGAATGCCTGCCTTAAGCCTGGTACGCAACCAATGCCATTTGCTCGTCACGTCAGCTCTCACATGCTTGCAGCGTCTAATGAAACAGCTAGGCTATAACTCACGCCCTTGAACCAGCACACAGTCCCAGACGGCCAGCATTGTTTTTTGCTTGCGTCGAGTGCCCAGTAAGGCTTCGATGCGCTGAAGAACCACCCTCTTTTTGAAGGCGCCCGTTTAACTTCAGTGCTTGCTTTCAGTCATCTTTAACTGTCCCACCTACTCTAGCCTAGCAGCTTCCCTATGCTTTGAGAGAGCCTAAGGTATGGAGTATTCGGAAGACAAGCAGAAAATGGACGAGTGGGCGCCTCTCATGATGGCGGGCAGGAGCGCGAAAGATAGGCTGGAATCTCACGGGCTCAGAACTGTCTAAACTGATCTAAACTGCCCAGCCGCGGCGTGCACGTCTGCGTTAGGTTGCTCATGGCTGGCTCTGCTTCAGGTGTGCCTTTTCCCGCGTGCCCCATGGCACGGACGTGGACTTCGGTGAGCTCACGAAGGACTTCACCGGTCGAGGGCTTCGGATGCGCTGTAAGTCAAGCTGCCCGCACGGCTTGAAGAGTGCAGGAGCTCACACAGGCTTTTCTGGCCCTTGGTGGAGAGGTTCAGCTGAGAACGACCGTGCAGCACGGCACGATGTAAGCGGGCTACGTCTCTCCACTGCTGTGCGACTTACATGCGGGGCTCAGGGGATTTTGAATGGCGGAAAGGCTTCAGATTCCTTGCCGGCTCACTGGATTAGTCTCATTCGATCCAGCAAGGTCAGATCTCCACAAGGATGAGCTACTTGGCTGCGGCACCTATCAAGAGATCAGAGTCTAGTCCCAACCAACCAGCTCCTCATCGACCCTTTACTGTCAATACCGGCTGGGAGCCTGATTACTCTACTCATCGCCACCACGTGCTAGTTCGACGGCATAACAGATACCACAAATGATCCCACCAACATGCGCCCCCGCAGCTCGGAATGAGGAGGTAGGGCATGGACCAGTGACATCCTGGCAGCTTAATTTAGGTGCATGTAATTTCAAAGGCAAGGTTCACTGCAGAGCTAGAAACTACTTAAGTAGTTAACGACTGAGAAGGCTGTGCAATTTCGAAGCCATGTAACGTATTAGCTTCCTGCTAGTAGAACTGATGACTGCCTTGGATCGACCAAGAGACTTGCTGGAATTTCTTTCGGGGGAAACACAAACTTTGAAGCCGCTGCGGCTTGACTTCAATGTGCTCAAGACCGAGAGAGTTTCATTGCCTGACGACAACCGCAGTAGAATCCGTGATGCGCATCCAAACATTTTAGTGCTCAAGCGAACATGTCGCAGACCTAATTAAGCACTTTTTTTTCGCCCTTGCCAGCGCATTGTGTAACTTCTCGTGTCATTCCAACTTCCAGACGCGTGTGAAGCGTGCAGGCATTTTCTCAAATACATCAAGCATGCGGGATTAGAACTTTTGATCAGAGTTGTTAAAGGCCATCAACGGGAGAGCTTGTGTAACAAAAAAGGTGGAATTCGGTTTCCTGATTCGGATGACGGGCAGCCCAGGAAGCGGGAATTCTGAGCCCCAAGCCCAAATAGCCTTACAAAGAATTGAAATTTCTTCTCACATTGGCCAGATGGTCTACAAGACATCTTCCCTTTTGGAGTTTCGGAGAATCCTGGGGTTCAGGCTTGGTCTTCGAGGGTCTAAGAGCCTAAGAGCTAAGCAACAAACTGCTGTGAGTCCACCTGTGCATTGCTTGTGCGCGTTAATAAAAAAGTATGAAACGAATGCACATTGGGTTCTAGCCGCAGTGTTTATGTTTAGAAGAGACAACGTGCTGGCGCTGGACATGGTTCCAGCTGCATTGGTCGGGACTACAAAGGGAAACGCGCTCGCCAAAGTTAATCGCATCACCTTGTTTTAGCCCCTCCCAATTTGGAAAGCAACATCACATTCTCTACCAGCAGCCTCAACAAAAAATGCCTTCAAGGACGGCGCTCTATGACGAGTCCTGGATAGTCAGCACCAGGCAAGCAGAAGCTGTTGTCTGATACAAAATTCATTGGGGTCTTTCTGCTGAAGGGTTTCGGCGCAATGGGCTTGCCATGGAAGACCCTGATTTCTTGCACGGCCGCAAGCACAAAGTCAAGGAATCAGCATGCAAGAAAGCTGCTCCTCTGAGAGGTGTAGTAATTCTAAATTGACCCATGCCCAGAAGTCGAATAAGTTCATGCTCCAGCTGAAGTGCATGTTCCCTAGACCAGGTTTCGGTACAGCATGGTATGCCAAAGATATTGCATTGTTCCAAATCCAAAATTGTAGTCGTGCTGCCTGCTCCCCGCACGCAAATCTTGCCTTCAGCCGTGGGCTCTGAGCACATTCAAATACAGCAGTGAGACTAGTGCAGTGTTCCCTCATACGATGACAACCCAGATTTCCCGCGACATCGGGTTCCTCGGCCTCCATGTTCTGCTATCAGCCAGGAAGACCAACAGCCTCCACAACGGGTCGAAGCGGTATCGCGCACGATTCGTGTTTGTAGGCACCGAGGGCAGTTTTCGGAGTCAGAAACGTTTGTAAAGGCTTCAGGATTTTTCGGGGAGTTGGAGTTGGTCAAGGAAGATGTTCATGCTGTGCAGGGCCTGGCTCTTGTGCTGCGAAGGAATTTCTGCATGCTGCCCTCGCGAAGTCATCGCCCTGTCTCAGGTGCTGGTGGATATTCCCTGCCCCTGCTGCAGAGATCTGGCATCCCAGAGATCCGAGGGTTCATGGGATTTCCGCAGCTCGGATGGCACAGTGTGTAGGTAACCCAAGTGCAACTCTTCCCCCGCATGAGGTAGAGCACCTGCCATGCAACTGAACCCTGGCACGCAACCCTTGTACACATTTGCTTCCTAGGATCAGTGGCGAGTTCCTCGTATGCGAAAATCCTGCAGCTTGGCTTCCGTTTCAGATCTTTGCACTTGCTGTTCGAAGATCGCGGGGGGGATGCTCTGCTTCTTTTGATCAGGCACTCAGAAACATTTCTTATCACCATTGTCTTGTCCCTGCTGGGCAGTCTTGGCAACTTTATTCCGAACTGGAAGGCCCCTGGAGACCCTGCGCCAGCTACTTCATTTTGCATCCCGCCCACAACTCGAGTTTCAGTGCGAATGTATTGATTTACGTGCTATGCTTTGCTTGGATTTTTGAGCTCGCTGGATGACTTGGGGAACTCAGCTGAGAGGCCATCGGATTTTGGCACGTTCTGGAAGTTTCATGGGCTCCGCCAAAATCGGCTTCTGGAGCTACCAACGTCCATGGAGCTCTGAACCCAAAGGTGCCGGGTCCGATTCCCCGGATAAGAAAGGCCCCTTGAAGTCGGCCATAGCCAGAAATCGAGACCCTTGCAAGTGGCTGCGAGGCCGAGGGAGCCTTCCCTGAGAGGGTGGACGGCAATGAAAAAAAATGAATTTCTCAGATCGAGGCCTAGGATTTCTATGGCTTGCAACGCGCATTCATCTCAGGAGGTGGCCAGAAAGCACGTGAGCAAAGTCTACGGCAAGGCCAGTCGGAAGGGATGGAAGCTTGACCTGCTACCAGGATAAACATGCCTGTTTCCATGGACGTGCCAGTCTGTTGTAGTTGCGGTTCATTCCATGAAGCGCCTTTGCTCGAGCCCAGAGCCCTATGTTTCTTGGCTTCAGTATGCAGTATGATGTATGCTGCTTGAAATTTCGGATTCGCACGCATTGGCAGGCTGCCATTGGCGCACCCCCGATGTCGGTGCTCCTGGCATAGTTTCTTGCAGGGCTGCGGAGTTGACCTAACAGGCCAGCATGTCTCGGGCGGAGGTACGTAAGCTCCATTTAGTTGGGACAACCGCAGGCTGACAACCAATCAGAGAGTATGAGAATGCAGAGCCTTGTGACCAGTTCGGATCCATCTTGAAAGAAGAGCTCACGTAGGTCCCTCAAAATCCTGCCGCTCCCTGTCGCATGACCAAGTTGAGGTGCCGCACCTCGACGCTCGGCGAATTGCCGGGCAGCAGGTGCTTCTCTTTGGGCCCTTCGCTGGCTTCAGTCCAAGGCGGCAGGGGAGTTAGGTGTGCTACCAGTCCAGAAATCTTGAGCATGCTGTTGCTTCGCTTTCAGTACAGAGGTTTTTGAAGTCTGGCTCGCTGACGGACCTCTTCAGATCAATCCGGCAGCTCGGTAGCGATGGCCTGGATCGAAGTGATTTGGACTTGGCAAATTGACTGGCCTCTGGCACACAATCTTGGTACATGGTAAGGCGAGCGTCCCATGCTCAGGTTTAGCAACATCGTCCCAGCTGCTGCTGCGGGTCTGCGGAACATGGACCTTTCGCTCTATTTGATCCGCCAGTGACTTGGCCTTTTATTGGCTTTAGTGTACCTTCCGAGGAAAACCGAAGCCCCAAAAGCTTGAAGTCTGCAGCCAGCACCGACGCCCACAGCCCCATGTTTTTGCTTGAGTTTTCTACTATAGGACATTACATAAAACCATAGTAGTAAGTAGTAACTAGTACCTGGTCCAGCAAAATCTCACGCAAAAAGCGTTAGTGCGACCAGTCCTGCATGCAGCACAAACCATTGGATCTGAGGCTATTGACAACAAAGTCACAGAAGCTGGCGGAGCTCAGAGAGTTTATTCCAGATGCAAAGGCTCAGAAGTGATCAGAAATGTGTAGGGTGGACACTTGCAGGGGCTTCAACTCAAAATCGTGACAGGCAGAGGACTGGGCCTTGGTGACTGCTGGACAGCGCGTCCAGATTATCAAGGGAGATCCAGAAAAAACAGGCCTTCGCTTGATTTTGGTGGTCGTGTTGGCGACGATCCTGCGGTCTAAGAGGGGCTCATGCATGGGAGCAGTAAGCCTGCAAAGGACAGCTTCTGTCTGCCTCACGCCTTTGAATTGTTACAAAGTGTTTTGCAAGGCATCCTGCAGTTTGGCACCGAGGCATCTGCTGGGTGAAACAAGAGGTTGAAAGCAGGGCATGTGCAACCTAGCAAGTCTGGTGGCTTGCAAGTGATGTGTGTTCAGTCATTGCAGCTATGCTGACCTGGTGCTCGGAACCCCTTATTGGGGCCAGTGGATTGCCACGAAGGTGGTCGCAGCAGCTGATGGTGCCTGGGCCAAAATCAATCTCTGGCTCTCAATCGTTCTTTCACACAAGCGTCTACTGGTCACAGTGGATTTTGCGCAACGGAAAGGAACCGCATCTTAAGTCCAGAGTCCAGAGCTGTGCCAGCAACCCTTAAGTACTTTTCGACAGCCAAGGCACTCTGGCAGGCCTCTTGGGGGCCTCACCGGGGGCGTCAACTGCTGTACAGGCAGTGGCGGTAGGGCTGCGCAGCCAAGTTGAAAGCTCCAAATCTTGAGCTCCGATGTGCAGGTGTCGCTGGATGTCGCAGCCTCAAGCAAGCTGCGAATGCTCTGTGTGTGACTGTTTGAAGTTTTTTTAGCTGGACAATCTGTGCGTACTGGCAGTGCTGTGAATCCGGGCTTCACAATTTTGACATCTGGTACAGGTAGCATTGACCCTACACTCTAGGCATTTTGAGGGACAGGAAGGCTGCTGGTCATGTTTGCCATGCTGAGCTTGAGAAGCAGCCAGTTTTCTGAAGACCAGGTCTTGGCAAGTTGCTTTCCAGATGACTTGAGGAGGCCACCATTGAATTGCCCTCTTGCATTTCGCTGGTTTCTTCCATGTTGCAAACGGGGTAGGTTCTGTTCACAACTTGGTAGGTGGACGCCAAAACTGCGGCAGATGATCCCGAGCTTTGGATGTCGCCTCTCTGAGGCGCGACTGGGGCAAGCTTCGAGGTGAGCGCGCGCAGGGTCGTCTGCAAAAGCACTGAGAAGGTTCTGAAGCGTTCAAGGGGCATGAACTTGTTGAGTAAGTTGTTGACGCAGGTCAGGCATCATTTTGAAGCTCCCGTGCCTTGTCGCGAAATACTAACCCCCGAACTCCAGCAGGAGACAGAGTTGGCGAAGGTCGTTCATCAACAAACGTCGCATCTCAGGCTGATTAATCTGAAGCTCTCACGTTGAGAAAGCTACCCCTCCTTGTGCAGACAGTAAAGGCATCACCTGCTCTAGGTGTCTCCACTTTTCCACCTAGAGCTCGTAGCGAATGCACGAAATGCAACATCTGTTTTGAGTCTGGAAGCAAGCGTGGAATGAGGTGCCCCTCAGACCAGTCTCCATGTACAGTCATGTACAGATTCGTTGATGTTAGGTCAGTTAGGAGATGGAAGTCCCAACTTGCTGAGGAAAGCTTTGGGCCTGCTTCCATAGCGCAGAGCCAGCGCTGAGTGAGGTGGGCACTTTCTTGTCGATTTTTTTGCCAATGTATGATTCGGAAGAATTCGATGTCTCCCGGCTTGCAGGGTGGGTGCCTAAGGCCTTTACTGTCCATGGTACAGGAAGCCCTGACATCCGCGTTCACAGAACTCATCCCAACGGATGCATCGCGCAAGTGACATGCTTGACGCAACCTATTGAATGAGGGGTTTTCTTTACATTCTTTACGCTTTACAGGAGGCCCTCGGAGGCATCAGCGGCAATCTTGTTGTGTAGCCGCGAAACCCTTTGGGAAGTCACCTTGGCATCCATCAGGCTTCAGAGAGCTATCATGAGCTATCGCTGGCCAGGAGGCTGACAGAAATTTGCTTAAAGCATTTTTGCCTGTACAATTCCCTCTTGAGCTCTGCGCAGGTGCTTTAGCCGCCCAGCACGTGCCCATGCTTTTAAACAAAGCCTAGCAGCATCGACTTTTGGTCGATGTTTCTTCAGCTTGTCATGTTTTACCTAGTGCGCTAGTTGTTCGCTCTTCATAAACCATATATCCCCCCTCACAGCTGAGTGGCTGGCTCCTGTGCGCTTTCAGCTCAGCTAGCGTGGTGGAGCCTCAGTCTGTGGTGTGCAGCAGCACCTCTAAAGTGATCCTGGGCCGACCAGATGCTAGGGCCTCCTCCACCTGCACATCTGAAAGGATCGATTTCAGCCGCAAGCAGCAGAAGCCCTGACTCGCCCGTGAGTTGGCATGTGGTCGGGCTCAAGTTTTCCTGTGAGAAACCTGGGACGCGAATCACGGGTTGTCCCAAGACTCCTGAAGATTTTGCGCTCTATGTGGCACCAAGTAGACGTTCAGCTTCGCGTTCTGGATGCACTTTGTTGCCTGCAGCCACCCTGATATCGCTTTGGGACCAAAAAGTGACGTGGCAACCTCTAACTCAAAGACTCTAGCAGGCACGCTGCAGTATGTACGGGGTCCCTGCTACAGAAGAGCCGAGGTGCTTGGCTATGCGTATGGCCAGGCCATGGTATGAGTGTACGCCACGATCAGCACAGAGCACTCGCCCCGCAGGAGCCTGGCTTTAGGCAAGTAGAGCTTCACAGGAGTTCAGCATGAGTTGCTAACTTGGGGGCTTTGCGATCTTATGCTTTGCTCTACGAGTCGCCGGCGTGTTACATGGCGCCACCTGTACAGAATGTGCGCCTTCGATCACCTGTGATGATGCCTGACTGTTCGCCAAACCGTTGTCCTTCCACTGTCCTACCTCACGTCAGTTCTCAGATTACCAGCAGGCTTTTTTGAGAGGCCGTCTGCCAAACCCAATGGCTTAACCGGCCAGCGACTCGCGACACTAGCCGGCTGCCAGCTGCTTGGCAGAGCCTGCCACGATGAGTGACAAGCCTGGAGCCCAGACTCGCGAAGGCTGTTACATGCAGATGGCACTATAAAAGATCTGCGAATACGTAAAATTGTTGAGACCAATTCGTCACTGAGCTGACTTGTAGGAATTCATCACACAGGCATCGTGAGGGTGAGCGTGTGTATTCTGTTTGTTCGCAGGATGCTTCTGGAGGGCGAGCTGCTGCTGCTTGGCGGAGCGGGGCTCCTCAGGGTCTGGTCCTGCATGGCGCAGGACCTTGCAAAGAGGACTGGTGGGGAAGTGTGGGACGCAGACTCGGCGCGGCACTTCATTTGAGCCCGTGCGATGTGCGAGTAGCCGCTGCTGCGCTTGCTGCACCTATGCCGGCGAGGTGGCCCAGTCCGGGTCCAAGCAGTTGGACAGTTGGATACTTATTACAATAGGGATCTATCTTAAGTTCTGATCTGCTCTCAAGTCTTGCGCGAAGACTTGGCTTACGAGGATTTCCAATCCATCTTATTTTGTGCGTTCGGGGCCCGCTCTTGAAACTCAAGCCTGCTGTGGAACCTGCAAGAGAACGGTGAACCACCAGGCCACAAAGTGAGGCAGAGCTCGAAGCTGCTCGAAGCTACTCGTACTTCTCAACATGGACGCGTTTTAACTTGCTCGTCAATAATTGACAGGATTGGCTTGATAGTTCGAAATAACCATTCTTCTGCTGCTTAAACTGTGGAGAAGCCAGCTTGGCGTGGGGCTCAACTCCAGGTGGTGGTCGAACCTGCTCCTGCTCATCGCAGGCCTGTTGCGACCAGGGAGGATTTACTTTGTCTTGCAAACCATTTTGTGCGACATACGCAGACTAACTGGTAGCTCATGGTCCACCAGCATGGATGAATCTGCAGATATCTGCAGATTTGATGTGACATGGAAGCAGCAGTTGTGGCCGTGAAAGGAAGCGCAATATGACACGCCTTGCACCTGTGCGCTTGTGATCCTTTAAGCCAACAGGCGTGAACCTGCTGATGGTGTTCTTGTCCACGTTGCTTAGTGCGCAGGAGCGTCTCTGAGGCATAGAGCCAGCTATAGACTGTGCCTTACATGCTTTGCTCAGCATGAAGCGGGATCCGTGTAAGCTTTGGATGGGACTGGCAGCTTCCCCATGACCTGCAGGATCTGAGCATCAATCTCACCCTTGAGTTGGGCGCAATGACGCTGGTCGGCGGGCGTACATAGCATGCTACACTTTGGCAGGGGCGACCTTGGAAGTGAAATGGTGTACCATGCAAGACTTCATGCACCCCGGAGGTCCTCATCGTTGTGATGTCAAAGTTTGGGCAGGCCTGGCTCTGCCGGGTTTGGATGGCAATTATCTGAGCAGAGTTGAAAGAGACCTGCGGCAGAAAGCACCCACTATTGGAATTGGCAGGGTGGCGGGCAGCAAAGGCCTGGGCTGGCCGACAGCAGCTGAAGCCACAACGCTGTCTGTTTGCTGTACTTGTAGGTCTTCTGTGGTGATTCTGTGGGATCGATATTATGCATGTGCTGGTGCAACTTCCGTTTAAAATCGTTTAAACACACGAAGCTTGGGCACAAACACAGCAATACGATTTGTTGATAGGCCTGAACCTCTGCTGGGCAGCTCCGACGAGGCGAGACATGACCGTTTGTGGGTCGGACTTTCGCCAGTCTGGCTGGATCAGAGAGGCCCCGAATCAAGGCCAGAGCGTCTGGACAAGGAAATGCCAGATCCTTCTAATTCGTTGGTGAAGTTGCTCTTCACAAGAATTTCTCGAGTTAGGTTCATCTTGCATCGAACACGACAGACAGCCTTTCCTTCCTGTCAGTCGGTCCAGCGATGGCGCTGGCTGGATGCTCTACGCTCTTCTGTGGGGCGGGCGGTGCGTGTCTGTCAGGACTTTGAAGTCATACGCATCCGTGCATGGGCGCATCGGCATTGTTTCTACTTGTGGAATCAGAGATTGCCCAGATGGCTATGGTCCTGAGAATCCTTGGCACCCCTTCAGCAGGACCGCCCACCCTCGCCTGATCTGCGGCCTAGCGCACCACCAATTGGCTTTGCAAGGCGCCCAGTCACTTGTGCCATTTTCCGTGCCTGCAAACAAAGTATGGCTCTGACCCTTTGCATCTGCCCACCTTTCCCATAGTATGCCTTAGCTTTCATGTTTGCAGTCTCTTCTGCCGAATAAGGAGCCAGTGCCAGCCCCGCTTGCGGGTCAAGCATTGCGAGATCCAGAGCGTCTCTAGAATCTATGCTGACGCACTTTCGTTACCCAGGCAAGCGCACACTAAGATGTGTCGGCCCTGGATGGAGGTCGCATGTGCGGTGCGCACCCAAATCCAAAAGCATCAAGGTAGAGAACGTGCAATTTCAAGGGATCTGGAAGATCAAAGTCAGATCCTCGGAATGATGTGGCTCCGCCAGTCATGGCGTTCGGATGTGTTTGGCAACTCGTCAGCGCTGTTCACGGCCATCCTCCTTTAGAACCAATGTTGCTGCCTTCATGCAAGAAGTGTTCGTAGAGTCTGCCAAATGGTGCAAAGGGCGGCCCCTGTACGTGTACTATTGTTTGGCTTCACAGCCCTGCAAAGCCAGGGCTGGATGGGCATCGGTGTCGAAAAAGGGCTCCTGACGTTGATCTTCCTTGGGGGAAATTCAGGAGCCTCCCAAGCACAGCGGAAAGATCAGCATCATCCAGGAG